GTGCTGATAATTAAAAATGCTAAATATTAACAACAGATTGGCTGATACAATGGTTGATCACTAATATTGATTTTTAATTTTTAAGAGTTGAATGTGGGGCCACCTTCATTCAGTATTAAATAACTCTTTTATCCTAGTTTGTTTGCTGCAGTTCTGATTGGCAGCACGTTCCCCTGAGGATTCAAGGGTAGTGTAGTTTTTCAACTGGAATTTCCACTGTAGCGATTGAAATGTGATTTTTTAAATTATTTGATAAATAAATAACTCATGAATAACCATTGTTACAGTTTTTACTGTTATTTTTATTTTACCATGAGGAAAACAACTCGACAGTATAATGACAGTATAAAAATGCAAAAAGGTTTGTGTCTGTGTTTAGGTTTTAGGAGATAGAAAATATCATTAACTCCATATAAAAACAAGTCAATCCAAAATAATGGAAAAACAAGCGTGTATATACAGGATCTTGTCTCCTGCCTTTGGTGGTAGACTAGTAAAGACGTTGAGCGGTGAGGCAGTAAATCGTTTGATTAGCTGATTCACCAAGGGAATCCAGGAACATTTTTGTTGCGGTGTTAACACACACACACTGATTCTTTCTTTGTCTGCATCCCCAGGCCATTTTTTTACCTAGTTCTCCCCTGCTGACTGCTTCTGTTTCCTTCATTTTTGGTACTCTTTCACAACTAAAAAATATATTTAATTGAAATGAATAATTTACAAAAAATAATTGAAATGCTTGTACTGTACCAATAGGAAGGAAACAGTTTAAATGTTTTGTATAATATTATGATTCTTTCTTTGTCTGCATCCCCAGGCCATTTTTTTACCTAGTTCTCCCCTGCTGACTGCTTCTGTTTCCTTCATTTTTGGTACTCTTTCACAACTAAAAAATATATTTAATTGAAATGAATAATTTACAAAAAATAATTGAAATGCTTGTACTGTACCAATAGGAAGGAAACAGTTTAAATGTTTTGTATAATATTTGCCTTAACCATGAGTATACATGCATCAAACATGTCTTAGATCGACATGCTGCCTTTGTTTGCACCTGACATTAAAGAAGAAATTAAAGGGATAGTTCACCCAAAAATGTAAATTCTGTCATTAATTACTCACCCTCATGACGTTCCAAACCCCTAAGACCTTTGTTCATCTTCGAACACAAATTAAGATATTTTTGCTGAAATCTGAGAGCTTTCTGACCCTGCATAGACAGCAAAGTAACTGAAATGTTCCCAGACCCAGAAACTTATAAAAGGTCTGAACAAAGGTCTTGCGGGTTTGAAACGACATGAAGGTGAGTAATTAATTACATCATTTTCATTTTTGGGTCAACTGACCCTTTAATGCAGTCAATATGTTTCATGCCTTTGAGCATATATCTCAGTGTTTTGTGTTTCTTTGCTGTTTTGAACGCATCCTGCGTACTGCATTTTCTCCAGTCCCCAACCGGCTCCCTGGGAAACTCTCATGCAGAAGTAATCATGTTTTTGTGCCGAAGGCTAAACGCCTCAGAAATGCGGGGGCTCCTGTGATCGACGACTGTCAATGGGAGCGTTAAAGGAGAGACTGACGTGAGACAGGAAAGGATGGTGGAGAATGGAAACAAAGGACCAGTATTACATGTACGTGTGGTTGGAATGAATGTAAGCTATAGCAGGCATGAAAAATTCAGACTGTGAAGGGATGATGGGAACAGATAAAGAAAATGTGCTCTTTGAGCCTGGATCAATCGTGAAGTTGTGGGATTAAGGCTGATCTGCCTTCTAAATGTTATCTGGAGCTCAGGCACGGACTTGAACCCATCTTTAAGAGAGAATAATGCCTCTGTCTCTTCCAGCGCAGACAGAGTGAAGACAGAGCCAGAAGTCTTACCAAGCAGACATGGAGGCTCTGCTGAAACCAAGAACTGTTTGTACAAAATACTTGATTCATCCAACAGTATGTTTCTGGAAAACTGTCAGCTGTGCCCAAGGCCAGTCCATCTTTTTCATTCAGTACTGTGTTGATAAGGGATCAGAATGTTCCATCTTACGGTTTGACTCCTTTCCTGCTTAGCAATTGTAATTCATCCTATTAATTAAGCATCATAATGAATTAAAACATTTCCATAGGATTCCCTACAGGTTGTGTTCTCCAACACATAATAGCACTGCCATCTGTCCGTCTATCTGTCTCTCTGTCTGGCTGTCTGGCATGACTCTGCTCTTGGCCTTCAGAGTTCACAGGTTTAATAAGGGAAATAATATTTTTTGTTTGTTTATTTTTTGTTTTTGCCTTTTACAGTTCACACACTAGTGCTTAACAAGGACAAACATCCTTGCAGTGTAAAGGAGGGATACGGGGATATGAAACAGAAGACATGCGCACTATGCTGTTTTTGTCCTTGCTGACGCTCTTGTCTTTGCAGGCTATTATCATTTGGACTCATCCACAAGACTGCCTTTTGTCAAATAAATGCACATAGTCCTATTACAAACATCTGTTCTTAATTAGTATTTTTGTCTTGTTTTCTAATAACAATGTGTAAACCTATTTACATAAACCATAGTTTGCATATGATATTAAGACTTGATATATCAACATTGAATTAAGTTTATTCTTAACTCCTTTGATAAATTATGTTTCAAGGATGTTTAGGTATTTTTAATGGGAAAACAAAATGAAAATACCCATTCAGGAAATTATTTTTCCAGTGTAGTTGTGCATCTCTGTTTTTGATTTCATTAAATGTGTGTTTTTTTAATTTTATTTTATAAACCTTAACAGCTGTCAGCTGTCTCTGGCTCTAAATACAGCTCACCTTAAGTTAGAGTGGAGAAGTGAGTGCAGAAATTTCTCCCTGTGAGCACATACTTCATAGAAAATCAATTTCATAGGTTAGGACACCATTACCGCCGGGTCCCAAAAGGTTTTTTAAAAACATAATAGCACAAGTGAATTCACTCACTGGGGAGGAAAAAGATGCTTAGACACGCCATAGTCTGTATTTTTATTATGAACGGTTTTTAGTGGTGTTAACTATAAACACAGACTTATATGCTTCTAGTTTGGTTGCCATCTGCATTTTTAGCCTCAATATGACTCTTTATGCAAGACATGATGTCTCTGCCTAATTATAGATAGGAGTCCTTCCAAAAACACAACATAAACATCTGTTTCTCTAATTGTCTCTCTGCCTCTTTCTCCCTCTTTTTTCTCCTTCCATCATTCTTACAGTACTTAGTTTTGTTTATTGTAACTTCCTCTGTGTTTTCTAGGCTATGCAGACAGGAGCTGATGTTTATCCCACGGATCTACTGGACAGCACATACCCGTGACGACATCATCTCCCACAAATCCGGGGAGATTCTTCTTTCTATGTGGATTAAAGTCTACAGTAAGGAAACTAGAGCTTAAACAGCTGGGATTTTTCCCATGTTCCTGACATCATCTGTAGGAAATGAGACCTGGGTGTCTGTCTTTTCTCTCTACATGGACGAAAAGCCAAGGAAAGTGTACTAAAAGCTGACAGACAGGATTAATTTTACTTACAAAACTGCCCCTTTATCTTTAAACCCAAAGAAGAGCTTGATGGTGTCATATGATATGGACTAATTGTACTCAGTGAGAGAGCCCAGCGGCAGCACTTTTGCTCCAGATGAAACTGATGTTTTTCTGCATAATTTTTAGTCACTCTGGAGGCGTTAGCTCTCCTGCACTGTGTGTCGTAGCATGTGGCTTGGGCTCAACATCCACAGCATCTTAATTACACAGCCAAACCGATTTAGACCACGGAGGAAGCATCTCTACATCTGGAGATACGCTGCCATTTTTTAGAGGGATGCACAGAGACATCAGATCTGCTTTCCTCACGTTTTTTGTTCTCTTTACCTATGCGATTTCCTAAAAGAAGCGCAAGAGATCCCACTCTCTTTCACACGTGCACCTAGTAAGTTTTTGAGTGTAACGTCTGTAACCTTTCTAGTGCTTCTCTTTCTCTCCTCCACTGACGTCCCATTCACACATCCCGCCATAATGAAGCCTTTAATTAAATTAAGCCTGCTTCAGTGACTATCCAGGGCCGCTGGTCCCTGCAGACGCAGTGACCTTTGGAGAGGGCCAGACTGCTGCTCTGTGGCCAAACACCTTCACACACACACACACACACACACACTAGGTATTTTTAATGGGAAAACAAAATGAAAATACCCATTCAGGAAATTATTTTTCCAGTGTAGTTGTGCATCTCTGTTTTTGATTTCATTAAATGTGTGTTTTTTTAATTTTATTTTATAAACCTTAACAGCTGTCTGTGCATGTGATCTTGCTGTGTGCTCTGAGGATTCAAGGGCCTCTAACTGTCTGAAATTGAGAAATGTGCCTAAATGAAGACTGCACCTGTCTCGGGGTCTCTCATCATAGTTGCTACCTGACGGAAAAAATAAGAAGAAAAACAGCTTTCCCTGCTTCAGTAGAATACAGCACCCTTAAAAAACACACGTTTCTGTCAAATCGTGCCTTTTTAGGGCTCTGGCTCTAAATACAGCTCACCTTAAGTTAGAGTGGAGAAGTGAGTGCAGAAATTTCTCCCTGTGAGCACATACTTCATAGAAAATCAATTTCATAGGTTAGGACACCATTACCGCCGGGTCCCAAAAGGTTTTTTAAAAACATAATAGCACAAGTGAATTCACTCACTGGGGAGGAAAAAGATGCTTAGACACGCCATAGTCTGTATTTTTATTATGAACGGTTTTTAGTGGTGTTAACTATAAACACAGACTTATATGCTTCTAGTTTGGTTGCCATCTGCATTTTTAGCCTCAATATGACTCTTTATGCAAGACATGATGTCTCTGCCTAATTATAGATAGGAGTCCTTCCAAAAACACAACATAAACATCTGTTTCTCTAATTGTCTCTCTGCCTCTTTCTCCCTCTTTTTTCTCCTTCCATCATTCTTACAGTACTTAGTTTTGTTTATTGTAACTTCCTCTGTGTTTTCTAGGCTATGCAGACAGGAGCTGATGTTTATCCCACGGATCTACTGGACAGCACATACCCGTGACGACATCATCTCCCACAAATCCGGGGAGATTCTTCTTTCTATGTGGATTAAAGTCTACAGTAAGGAAACTAGAGCTTAAACAGCTGGGATTTTTCCCATGTTCCTGACATCATCTGTAGGAAATGAGACCTGGGTGTCTGTCTTTTCTCTCTACATGGACGAAAAGCCAAGGAAAGTGTACTAAAAGCTGACAGACAGGATTAATTTTACTTACAAAACTGCCCCTTTATCTTTAAACCCAAAGAAGAGCTTGATGGTGTCATATGATATGGACTAATTGTACTCAGTGAGAGAGCCCAGCGGCAGCACTTTTGCTCCAGATGAAACTGATGTTTTTCTGCATAATTTTTAGTCACTCTGGAGGCGTTAGCTCTCCTGCACTGTGTGTCGTAGCATGTGGCTTGGGCTCAACATCCACAGCATCTTAATTACACAGCCAAACCGATTTAGACCACGGAGGAAGCATCTCTACATCTGGAGATACGCTGCCATTTTTTAGAGGGATGCACAGAGACATCAGATCTGCTTTCCTCACGTTTTTTGTTCTCTTTACCTATGCGATTTCCTAAAAGAAGCGCAAGAGATCCCACTCTCTTTCACACGTGCACCTAGTAAGTTTTTGAGTGTAACGTCTGTAACCTTTCTAGTGCTTCTCTTTCTCTCCTCCACTGACGTCCCATTCACACATCCCGCCATAATGAAGCCTTTAATTAAATTAAGCCTGCTTCAGTGACTATCCAGGGCCGCTGGTCCCTGCAGACGCAGTGACCTTTGGAGAGGGCCAGACTGCTGCTCTGTGGCCAAACACCTTCACACACACACACACACACACACACACGTACATCTACACTTGAGCCCCTGGCAGTAAATAGTGAATGGTAAATGTCAGCGCTCTGGCCCTTGAATTATACGGTTTATTTGAATAAGTGTAAGAGCGGATCAGATGAGCACCACAAGCTCCACCAACAGCTCGCCTCCGTCCACACATCAGTTTTCGGCAAGCTGGGAATTTTCTCTTTGATTACCGAGATTATATTGTCTTTTATCTTGTGCTTGCTCTATTACTGTCTCTCTTTTTCTGTTCCTTGCAGTGGCAACCATGAGGGTCGCACCGACACATTTGGAAGGACAACAGAGCGGCATTCCACGTGGATAAATTAGTTTATTTCGTGTCAGGGTTACACATTCTTGCCATATATTTTTACAACTGCACGGCTCATGGAACACGACAGGAAAGACTTAAAAGGGCCTGATGCACCTTTTAAGAACAGCAACAAAAATGAATAAATCATCAAGAGGGAGTGAGGGCTAGTTCTTCTCAGACAGCGCTAAAGGAAACGCTCTTCTCCCCCTACCAGCGAGAGAGGTCTTTGGCAGACTGACAGTTGCAGCCTCTAGCCTGGTGGATCGTTGATGCATTTGCCTTGAGTTTTGCGTTCCTCTGCCCTCCCCCTCCGTGCCTGTGTCATGCTCTGTTGCCGGCGTGCCGTCCTGGAGCCATGCCCATCCCAGAGATGGCTTTGAGCCCGGTGAAGTCTCTGTACTGGGAGGTGTTCCCCTCCATGGCCACGCAGCGGGTGTACTGCACGCCTGTGCTCTGGGCCGGACGCCTCTATGTGCTGGGGGGCTGCAGCGAGAATGGCCTCCCTCTGGACTCAGCCGAGGTGCTGGATCTGGAGAACCAGCGCTGGTGTGAGCTGCCCCCTCTCCCCACTGCACGGGCCGGGGCGTCTGCCGTGGTTGTCGGAGACCAGCTGATGGTCATGGGAGGCATGGATGCACAGCAGAGCCCGCTGGCCTCGGTGGAAGTGTATCACCCTGATGAGGGCAAGTGGGAGAGGAAGACGGGACTGGGGCAGCCCTCCATGGGGATCACCACACTGGAGAACGGTAAGAACAGTGTTTCCTTCTTTGTTGAAAAGACTGCACTGGTCAATTTTTTTATTATTATTGTTACACTGCAAAAAAGTTTTTCCAAGTAAAACAAAGTCTAAAAACTTGAAACAAAATTGTATAAGATATTAAAAGACGTGTTTTCATAGAATATGCCATTAATTATGCTTATTTTTCTTACCCTGTTGTCAAATTAGGCATGAACCTCACTAAATATTGTTTGTTTATGCCTAATTTGACAATGGGGTAAGAAAAATGAACTTAATTAATTGCATTTTCTCTGAAAATAAGTCTTAGTATTTTTTGCTAGTTTGCTTCTGGGGTTAATGAGAAGTAAGAGTGTCCATGAAAAAAGAAAAGTGCTCATTAGTTTCTACACCATACCTTGATTGCACGTGATCATACACATACTAATTCCGTATATTTTTTCCATATATATTTTTCAAGAAAAACACATTTTAACAATTATCAGGAATTTTTCATTAAAAAGTGTCATTACTTTTTGGGGGAGGCGCACCACAATCTGAACTAACCTGCCTCAAAAGTCAAAATATCTATTATTTTAATATTTTTAAAATAATATCTAATTGATCTTGGCACGCAGTCAGTCAGCATCACTCTCTGTGATGTCATTTCCTGTTGAGTTATTTCTGAATGCTAGTTACACCACTTGCTTATTTGACAGACAAATGTTTTTCAAATATTAATACTGAAGCAAAAAAAAATAATAAAGACTAATACAAAATACTTTTCAAAAATGTCATTCTTTTAATAAGGTTTTTTTTCTTTCTAGTGGTATCAGGCAGTTGTATCACCCTGAAATGTTTTACTTTATGCTCAGCAACTTTAATATGGAAATTAAAAACATGCTAATCATACAAAAATATATTCTTTGTATGCTTGAATGGCATTTTTATTTATTTTTGGAATAAATGAATAAAAAGTGAAAAGTATTAGCATATCATATTGTTCGCCAAGTAAATTGAACGCATTTTTAAGGATGTTTAGATGTTTTACAGAAAAACAAGACAATAATACTTCTTACCTAAATTGTCTTGATGAATTTCTGCTGCTCTCAGGCTAAACGGTCATTGTTTGGTTCTCAAACATCAGGAAGCAGCAGTGTGTAGAAAAACATTAGACTAATTGGTGAAAACAAAGATTGGTTCCTCTCTCGTCTTTCTGCTGCCTCCCTTCAGAACACGATTAGCCGTATAATCTTGACTGCTTTTATCTTTTCTACAGTCACTGTGGTTCTAATGAATGTCTCTTGTAGCCGGCGCCTCTAGAGTGCTCCGGATATACCAGCTCCAAATCAAGGCATCAGTCATGCCATATTGTGACACAAAGCATTACACTGCAGAGAAAAGTCTCTCCCTCCTATTTAGCTTGTGTAGGTGTGTGTTCAGGTGACAATTTGTCCAGTTTGAGACCCCGAGGAAGAGTGTTTATTCACAGGGATTCACTTCTGCTAAGCCGCATTTCACCAGCTGAGCTGTATTCAGGCCCGGACTGATCAGTTCTGTGGATCCGTTTTAAAGCTATCAGCAGGCCGGCTAAAACAACACCTGTATTCATGTGCCAGAGAGAGCTCATAAGCATGTGGTTCTTTAATGAATACTTTGGTCATGTCCGCAGAATTATAAATGAACTGTCTGCTCATTTACCTACAGCAGCAGATCGTTTGAAATTAGCATGTGAGCTGTGGTTCTAGGTGTTTGTCATAAAATAATAATATTGAGGATGTGAGGGAGACATCTTAAAGAGCCCATATCATAAATATATTTTTTTCTAGGTCTACTTATAAGGTTAGTCAAGGTTTCTTGCACCAAAACACTATAGGGTTTACTTTTGCACAAGCATGTTCCACCCTTGATATTTGACATTTTAAAAAAATTAAATAATTAAAAAATTTATAATAATAAATAATCAATTATTAATATTATTGTTACTTATTAATAGGCATCACAGAATAATAATAATAATAATAATAATAATAAATTAAATATAATTTATTCACTCTTGTGTTGTTCCAAACCTATAAGACTTTATCTCTTTCATGAAGCGGACCTGAAAGAACATGAGTGCTCTGGGGAAGGAGCTGCAGGATTGTGTAACGTGTGTTTATCCATGTGCATTAGTGTGTTAATAGTTATGCCTCTGTTGTTCAGTCTCCATAAAGTTAGAGTCTCTTGTGTTCCCTTTCAGGGTGCACAAATCATACAAGAATAAAAATACCAGCATGATCCATGCCTTGCCTTATTAAAACAAGCACATGCTAATTGCCATATGCCACCACCATGTGGCCTGATAAATTAAACTTGAAAGATATTATTATACAGCTTTCTGGAATAGTTGTTTCTTGCTGGTCAAATATTTTTGTATAATGAGTGTATGACCTCATACGCTATGCTGTAGTTTCATGTCTGTTTTCTTTCACATTATAAAATGATTTCTGATAATTTTAGTACATTAATTCATTTACTTGGCAAGCAGCCGTGTAATGTCATAATTTAATAATTTGTCATTATTACATCAGGGTGATCAGGACCTTGACACAATTTTTTTTTATCATCCTGAAGGGGTTTATTTTCTGACACAAGCTGCTGTGAGATCCATCTAACTTACCAGATTGTTCCTGACACAACGTTTCTTTCATTTTCTACTGACAGTCTATCGCATCGTATCATCGTATCATCGTAATTCATCATGTCCTTTTGTGTCACAAAAAGCATGAAGGTCCTAAAACAGGCCGTATGAAGCCATAATTTTGTTTCCAGGCCTTAGTATCAAAGACCTCTGTTTTCACCTCTCTCTCTCTCTCTCTTTTTGTCAGTGGTGCTTGTTCTCTTTGATATCCTTCACGTCATCTTAGGGGCAAATTGCTTTGAGGGTCCAATCTGTATTTGTATGGCTTTGAAATCCCATGTTCCTTTGCACCCCTTTGGCTTATCGGACACGTTCTGTATCCGAATATCAATCAGGGTCTGAGCCAAACCATCTGGATTTTGTAAATAAGACATCCCATACTGAATTGATTTCAATCATAAGAAAGAAGAAGGATTTTTTTTAGCTGATACTGTTTGTGATAAAGACAGTAATAGAGACTCAAGCTTGAGAAGTGCAGCTGTGGCTGGTCAAAACCACAGAAGTCCTTATATCTTTGCTGTTAAACATGAATGTTCTGATGTGTGCTGTTATCTGGTGTGAAGTTTGAGTGTGTGCTGAAGTGTGAGGACGTATCAGAATCATGCTGACCTGTTTGTCACTTGGAGTAGATGGCTATTTAGGCAGACAAGGTCTTTTTGATTTCAGACTTATAACTGAGGGAACAGAGTGTCTCTCCAGCGCTCTGAAGGAAACACGAATGTCAGATAGGGTTGCCAACCATAACAATATGTTACTGACTCATCCCATGTTAAATCCAATGCGGGATGCAGTTTGTCTCACGTTTTTGTTTAGCTCCTGAAATATTGCTGAGAACACATTGGTATTTATGTCAATTTTGTGTCTGCATTGTAAATGACAGATTAGAATAGAAAACAAATAAAGTGATGAATGTGAAAAACAAACAGGTTTTCTGCAAGTTGGGTAAGAAAACCATTACATTTGCTGTTGCTATCACACACACACACACACACTGTATATACTCTGTTCAAAATTTAGGGAATTTTCAGCACCATTAATCCAGTCTTCTGTGTCACATGATCCTTCAGAAATCATTCTAATATGCTGATTTGGTGTTTAAGATAATTTTCTTTTTATTATCAATGCTAAAAACATTGAAATAGCTAAAAATGAATAGCTATTATTTAATATCAAAATATTTTGTATAACATTATAAATGTCTTTGCTCTCACTTATGATACATTTAATGTACAGTATCATTACTGAATAAAAGTGTTAATTTCTTTTTAAAAAATCATACTGACCCCAAACTTTTGAAGGGTAATGCATGCATTTTTTGAAGGGTGAAATGTGAAGACAATTAGTCACGTTCAGTCAGTTTTTTGCATTGGCGCACATTTTTCACTGGATTTGTTACTGTGTTGTTAACTAAATTTGATATTGAATTTGATTTTACAAATTGATTTGATTTGGTTTTATGAATGTGAGCATGGTTGAGGACAGATTACTACGCACATAAGTACATAAGTGGTGCATCTCAATAAATTAGAATGTCGTGGAAAAGTTCATTTATTCATAATATATAATATAATTACTAGGTAGCTAAATTGATATGTGATGTGGGACACTTTTGTATGACATGAAAATCAGGAATGCACCGATTTACAAAATAATTGATAATTATTTGATTATAATTGATTAATAAACTTATAATTATTTTAGCTGATATTGAAAAATGCCTGAGATTAAAAATTTAATCAGTTTAAATTCTGATTCTTTCTGATTCTATCATCCATCCCTTCCACATACAAAATACATCTCTCAATGTGTTAATACATCTCAAAAAGCATATACAGTATAGTATATAGATAAAGGTCTTCTTAAGTTGTCCAGAAAAGAAATTGTCAGTTGTTTTCTTCTGCTTAAGTTAGCAACCCTGTGACAGTGGTCTCTGTCTCTCTCTCTGACTGCTGCTATCTGTATCTCCCTCTCTACCATCCCTCTCACTTTCCTACCATAATTTGATCAAGAGAGCATTCTTGTTGCCAGGCAACAGGTGTGTAAATCTCTGTGTGTGTGTGTGTGTGTGTGTATGCATTTGTGTGTGTGTTTGACCCAGAGACATTTTTAGAACGGAACAGGCTGAGTTGCAATGCCAATCCATGATTCACTTGCTGCTCTGCTACTTGCCTCTTACTCTCTTCACAAGAGAGGCAGAGAGAAGTGCTTATTGCCCTTCTGCCCCCTTAATACCTGTAATGCCCTCTGTGTTCATCAAATACACCACAGTAAGAGACTCTTCCAAACTGCTTGCTCCGATAGTCCATCTGACAATCCAAACCATTTTTTCGCTTGTCCTCTAGACACAC